AAAGAACCCACTTTAAGTGCTTACACCACTTTTCTGCTGCGAGGACACATTGCTTTGATATTTCTGCCTTAGAGCCAGTGGACCATGCACTGAATCTTCTGAAACCATGAGCCATGCTAAACCTTTCCTCCTTAAAGTTGTTGGTGTTCAGCATTGTGTCCTGGTACAGAAGGGATAGCGAAAGTGTAAGGGCAATGAGGCCGGACCCAAGGAGCACAGTCACACATCTGTGAAGTAGTTACTGGTTTACCTCCTTTCCCACACAGTCAAACTCTGTAAGGGATTTGGTAAGTTTTTCACTGTATAAATTTTATAACAATTGATGTGGGCTATGGCAATGAAGTCGAGCACTTCTCCCAGTTGTAAATGTCCTTAGAAATTTCACAAGTTTTACTACTTTGTTTCCTTTTTGTTTCAGTGATTTTTCTATTGTTGCTGGGACAAAATACCCAACACCCAGAATTAAGGAAAGAAAGACTTATTTAGCTCAGTTTGTGGAGGTTCAGTCTGTAGTCAGCTGGCTCCCAGGCAGTGTGGAACATGGCAGAGGGCAGCAGTTCATGACAGTGGAAAACAGTAGAACAGCAAGAGAAGAAAAGGTGGGAGTAGAGGCAACCACAGCATTAGCAGAGGCAAAGAGCAAGCTTCTCTCCCTTCGTTCTACCACATCTAGGCTGTCTGCCCCAGGGAAGATGTGGCACTCACACCCATAATCCCAGCAGCACTTACATCATAATCCCAGCATTGGATCATGAATTAATCATGACCTCTAGAAGTCTGTCCTATAACTGCATGTGGATTTGGCGGGACAACTGGACATAAACCATGACACTCTTTATATCCAATTTATATTAATTTGCAAACCAGAACAAATAAAAAGTTGCAAATTTTCAGTGTGAGAAAGCCTAGCTGAGTTCATCGCTTTTACTTTTTTTAACATTGGAGATAAAGATTATGTGGCAATTGCTAGTAGTGGCAGGAAAACATTGGGCTAGTGTTCTTGTGAGTCCCAAATGGGGTACCGCCAACTATGAAGGAGTGGTAAAATGTGTCATTCCTAGGAACAAGGAAAAATGCAGGAATAGTGTTGCTTGGATTTTTCCTGCCTATGAATCTTATAATTCAGTACCTGTATTCCTTATTTATGTAGTTTTGGTTATGCATGGTAGGACTGCCACCTATATTTAGAAGAAAATTGTGTTTTGTGTTTGCTTGGTATCTTATACTAAGGTAATCTATGTCAGTCTTTCAACCAATCAAATGTTCTCGTGATATTTCTTGTATTGAAATTTTAATAGTCTGTTTAGTAAATAGGGGTAGCCTAATAATTTGTTTCAAGAGCTCAAAAGATACAAGTTTCTTTTCTGTAAGAAGACATTTCTTGACAACTTCATCGTGTGCAAGGATCTTTTATTTTTTCTTTTTGTGTTCTTCAAAGATTTTTTTGCTAGTGAAAAAAGAAGAAAAGAAGAGAAAAATTTCAAGAGTCCATCAGTGTTAACCTCCTATGACAGGAAAGAAGGAAAAAAAATACTTTCATAGTTCAAAAAATAATGATGCCAAAAGCTCTCCATGAAAGACTTGTTGTAAATTTATTTTTTTATTTTAGGGAAGGGTCTACAGGGTGTTCAGGGTTTCACTACCAGATTGGACTTGTAATGATTCATCTGTTTACAGCCTCCCAAGAGCTGGGATTACAGGCATCAGCCACCACACCCAGTCTCAATTGCTGTCTCAGTGTGCACTAGGGGCAGGGCCAACACTGCAGGCCTGAGAATCAAATGGTTGTAAAAACAAAAGTGCGCATAGTTTGGGAAAAAAGGAATTTTTAAATATGTTTATTTTCTATGCACTTTTTAACATCATCATTTAATAAAATGGCAAGTTCAAAATTTTTGAGTTTTTCTTTTATTTAGTTCAAGTAATGTCCAATGAACTGAAAGTATCTTCTTTGGTGTGATTTCTACCTTGCTAGGGATTGAAGTGGCCATTCTTCTATTGTATAAGATATTTAGACATGAATTGCAATCTAGAGTTCATCTTGGGCTTAGAAGACAAGAGATAGCTTCAAGGATATGCAAGAAATACCTAGGCTCCTCAACATGCGTCCCCACCCAGCAGTGTAACATTCTGTCAGCCACATTACCCCACTGGTTAACCCATTCTTCTAATTGTTAACAACTAATGATAGTCTACTATTCTAATGTATATAAAGCAAGGTTGCTCAGTTTGTTAGTCCATTTGGTCTTCTATAAAAAATATCATATTCCAGATAGTTTGTAAACAACAGGAATTTATGTATCACAGCTGTAGAGGCTGGGAAACTCAAACCAAAGCACAGACAGATTCAGAGCCTAGTAAGAGTTCACAGATGGCAACATTAGTCGTGTCCTCACAGAGTGAAAGAGTTGAGAAATTTCTCTTCAGTCCCCTTTTAGAAGGACACCAATCTTGTTACAAGCACTCTATCCTCATTTTAAAATCACCTTTCAAAAGCACAAATTTTCCAGTATCCTCATCTTGAAGATTAGTATTTCTACATGAAAATTTTGGTGTAGAAACATTCATGTCATAACTCTATTTTTCTTGGCCTTGAACAATGAAGGAAAACTCTCATGCCTTCTCTTTTAGATTGCTCTCTCAGGCACAGATCACCTGGAGAGAAAAATGTTAGTATCTGCTTAGCATGTTACAATTTCAAAGAACTTTTTTTTTTTTTAGCATTATCTCATTCATTCTTAGCAAAACTTATGGTATAGGTGCTGGCAGAAGCCCTTGCCAAATCCATTGATCCCAAGAGCATCCAGCCTTCCTCACATCTGGTTTGTCCAGTTCTGTGTCGCTCAAATTCTAACTAATCTGCATTTAAGCGTAGGGTATCCCATGAAACATCCTAGTCTTTATGGAACAGCAGAAGACGTAGGCTTACATTAGTTATAAAAGTAAGAAGGCCTATTTTCTATACTCAGACTGATGGAATGGCTTTCCTAATCTCAATGGAATTAGATGAGTTAAAGCAGGCTTAAAAAGATAGCTAACTCTTGGCGGTCTAAACACATGTCTAGTAAGCCCAAGGATCTGGCTTCAATGCCCAGTACAGCATGCCATTCCAGTTCTGTGCTGAGCCTGCCATCGAAACTGGGTGTGGTGGCACATGCTTATAACCCCAGCACTAGGGAGGCTGAGACAGGAGGATCACTACGAGTCTGAGCTGTGTAAGGAGACCTTGTACCAAGTAAATAAATAAATAAATAAGTAAATAATTTTTTTAAAAAGCTAGCTATCCTGCACCACAGACCTAAATTTGCTTATGCACGTGGTTTTCCTAATGAGATGGTCCTCGGTTGACAGCATAGAGTTCATGATCTGATATGTATATCAGTAACTGTTCATAGTCAAAGATAGGGGCTTGGCGTTGGATGTGATGAGATGCGGCTGTAATCACAGCAGTCTGGGAAGCTGAGGCAGGAGGATTACAAGTTTGAACCAGCCTGAGCAATGGAGCCATTTGATAAGATTCTGTCCCAAACAATAAATGACAGGTACTTGAACACAAATCCCCTCAATTTCCTGTGAGTGCACCGTCCTCACATTCTGAGTGACCTCACACACTTGCATGTGCCAAGAAAGAGTGTGTGAATGAGCTATTATGGAAATGCATGCTTTTTTCTCTTTTCCTCCCTTTTAAATAAAATAAGAGAACCTGGAACCATAAAACATCGCTGTCCTGGAGAAGGGCAATGTGTTGGTGAAGTGGGAAGCTGTGGCAGGGGCTAGGGAGGTCAGCCTCCCCTCATACCCATGAGGTTACTGTTCCTACACTCAACAACAACAGTAGCAGTGAAACCAGTGAGACAGGGAGCAGGCAGGAAGAGAAACACCGAGAGAAAGCTGCCTTCTTTCTTCCTCTTGATTTCACTTTGCCAGAGCTTTAAACAAGTGTGAAGACTTGCACAGATGAAAAACAGAAGAAAAGGGCATAGAGGCTGTTCTCCAACATAGGCCCCCCTAAATTCTTACCCCTACTAATGAGAGCCCTGCAACAGCCATCTGAGATCAGACCTCCTAAGAAGAGCAGTTCTTCTTGGAGATTTTTCTCCTTGGGACTTTAATTAAGCTCCTGCCAGGCTTGCAAGCATTTTAATTTTACCTTTCTTTCTTCTTCCTTTCTCTTTCCTCCTTATCAGCCTGCTTGCCAAGAAACTTTTTCTCAACTGTCACAATTACAGTAAAATGTACACTGAGATATTAAACTTAGAGACAGACAAGTAATTGATTTTCTAAGAATCCTTAGAGATTTTCTTACATATGGAAAAGTCTTTATTCATTCATTCACTCATTCATTTACTTTTAGTCAAGTGTGTGTCTATTTTTATAAGTGATAAAATAGCAGAAAAAGAACCTATATGGAGTGTTCTGTGGCCACAGGTTAGGAAGTGATCTAAGTTGTCCTCCACGCACTTACCTCTTAAGCAGAAGAAGCCTGCCACTGGTTCACTTGGCATTCACACTACTCACAAGCAAACTGTAGCTCTTTCATAGTGTTAGTGGGTAACAGGGGAGTGAAGAGAATGTGATGCCTCAGTTGATAACATTACCCATATTTAATGCAATGTCACATTGAATTGACCTAGGTTCCTTTCCAAGATGTCCTTAAACTCATTGCAATTCTAAAAGTATAAAGGCTGGCTCTTGGGTTGTAAAAGGTGACCCCTACAAAGCGGATTCTAGGAGGAGCTATTTTCACTGAGGAAGCATAGTCAAATTGATCACCTTGAGTACGATGTTATCTTTTCTGCCCTTAATATTTTTGCTTTACAACATATTGCATGGCCAGAAATAAAACAAGCCATCAAAGCCAGGGAAACTAAAATGACAGATATGGAGCATTGGAAATATTATCTGTTTTCCATGGTTGCTACTGTCATCATTATTAGTTCCTTAATAATTCCACAATGGCATGTCGTCACACCAACTGCTCCTGTCTGTGAGGTACTTACTGATCGCCTCCACAAAACGCTCAAAGAAACTGTAAGGGAAGAGCGGCTCAGGCAGCTCCCGGAAAAACATCTTCAGTGCTCCGGTGACAACGTGGATGTCCTCCCACTGGCTGTCGTCCAAATTCAGCTTCTCTTCTGGGAAAACACGAGGAGAAATGGAACAACTGGTTTTAATGAAACAATTACAAGACACTAATTATTATGTTAATGTTTGCCTACTATCATCAGCAACCGTTAACAGCCTTCTGCACCTAGAGGTTTGGTGCTGTGCATGGTTGTTTTTTTCCCCCTCTTTTTCAGTAGGAAGGGAATATTTTCAATGGAATACCATCTGTAGGAATGCAGCTAACAAAAAACAAGAGACACAAAGAGACAGTGCCATTGACACAGTATGTCAGATGCATTTATTCCCATAATGCATCAGTATGAAAATTAGCATCACAGCGCAACATGATTCAAAGCTATTTGGTTTTGAGGCCGAGGGGCTAAGAGTTGCCAATGATGGCCGGCTCAAGGGACCGGCCTAAAGGCCTTGCTGAGCCAACAGGAGACATATGCTAAACATGGCAATAGAAAATGAATTATTGCTTTACATGTGTTAGCCTTGCTATGTACAAGGGAATAATGGGTAACACTTTTTTCCTTTTTTTGCCTGAATATAAAGTCAGCAAGGAATAGAATAGTGAGTGAGAAAAGATATTAATTCCTTCTTACTGCTTCAAAAATATCTTTTTTCAGTTTTCATCTCAGTGAGGAAAATGTACCCAGCAACAATATTAGACAGACCCCTGTTGGCCTACATAGGCTATGCAAAGCTGTCAAAAATGATAACACGCTGAAGACAAAACACCAGTGCTTACCAACTCTTTAGAAACACCAGAAATGTTTGCCTGAGAAGCTGGAGTGATTTGAGACAGAAATACTAAACAAAGTCATTGCCAAAATGAAGGTTTCAGTAAAAATACAGTGCACAGGGCAACGATTATCTTGCTTCTCCCTTTGATATAAAAGTCTGGAAACATTTTCACCCAATAAATGGATGTATTAGTGTCTGACAGTGATAGCTTTACACACAATTAAAGGAGCAGGACACAGAAATATTTCTGTTAATCCACAGGATTTTTCTTTCCAAATGGAATGAAAGAAATGAAAGCTACTCGTTTTAGACAATCTGGGAGTTAACTGAGAAGCCAGGAATCCTGGCAGGAACATGACAGGTATTTGGTCAACTGGGCTTCTGTTTCTTTACTGAAGTCTTGGGCTCATAGTGACATGTTCCTTCAATGTCCGTTTTTTGAATATCAAGGAGTATTCTGAACCAAAAATATCATAAAAGCTGAGAATTGTCACCGTAGGGATTCTCTGCATGAGCTGTTTTGCTAATAGTGTTCGTATCCTTTAAAAAATATTGTCCCCCATCTCCATCAGATCTTTTTGTTTTTCCTAATGCCCTACTATTTCCAGGGCTAGTAAGTAATGTTCACATTCGCTTGTACATTTGAAACAAAAAGAAGCAAAAAAGGAGCGAGGTGGATCTGTTTATTTCAGATGGGCTGTTTTCTTTCCTTCAATCTTCATTCCCACCTCAGTCATAACACAATAATATGATCCACAACAAAATCAGCAGAGGAGACCTTCTCACTGCCCTGCAATCAGTTTTGATTGATTATATTTCAACAATTAGTCTTTTATTTGGCTACACACTATTGAAACAGGCCGACAGCATCTTAGCAGGCCAGCTTTAAACAGTCAACTGTTAACAATAGCATCAAAAAGACAGACCTGATGGGGTTCACTGTCACTTTAAAGAACGGGGTTTTCACATTGTTGAAATCTGTCAGATATTTTGAAATGTCCCTCTCACTATGGTGCCACACCCCCTGCGTGCCCTTATAATAAAATTGGTTTTACTCCTGATTAAATCATTTTCTCCCTACCCACTACCATACTTCTCATAATGGACCTGTGTGCTCTACAGCTGGTGTTCTTCCCATGGTACCAATTCTTACTTTATCTTTTAAGCACTTTGCTGCTAAGATCTCATGCAGAGTGCTTATGTTTTGTTAAGAGCTTCATTCTTAGAGAAATAGCTTAACACATGTTCTAAAAATGTTGTACAACTTATTGCTTAAAACACATTTAGAAAATGTGTAAGTACGGTAGCTTTGGCACTGCACCTTTAAGTGGAAACCTAAACACACATGCACACTCGTACACACAATCAGACACACAAAGCCACTACAACCAGTAATGTATCAGAACAGTCCAACATAAAATTCCACTTTGGTGCATAGGCTCAAGATTGCCAAAGGAAAATGTTCAATGGGTTAAAAAATGATTTTTATCTTAAGTAGGAAATCAACAGCAATAGCAACAAATAATTGCCTAAGAAAAGGATAATTCCATTGACCTCAGTCACTACCATCTATATACAAGATGATTCTAGAGAAGATAAAACTGGAATGTGTCAGGGTATGGAAGAGAAAATTTATCAAGCAATAAAAATCACTTGATCATGTCTACTTAAAATGCTACATAGCACAATATCAACATCAACTTGTGTCACTTACAAGAATATTCCTATTATAGTGACTTATGCAGCCTTTATTTGGTGAATATAATAATAATTTATAATCCTCTAATAAGTAAGCAATATGTCAGTCAGAATGAGTTTTTCAGAATATTGTATCTGGTTCTTATATTTTTTACCATCAGCCAAGGTAGATTTTTATAAATCAGAAGGTATCAAGGTATATTTTTCCTGACCACTATGGTTTATCTAAACATGTGGTTGTGTCCAAATAATATAGCTTGTCATGAATACAATAAATCTTCAAGAATAACTAACCATAGTTATATCCCGGTATTAACAGGGACCATTATAAGTACATTTGTGGTGTTCCTGGTTGAGTACCACAGTAAGGGTGCACAGAAGTTATTAAATGTTGGTCTGTGAGATTTACCTTACATAGACAGGGAGCCATAAATTTAGATACACACATACTGACATTTCCTTTATAGAGACTTAAGAGTTGATAACTATTATTTTTAAATTAATTTTATTGGTATGATTTTGACTTACGTAACAATTACCTTCAGCATAGAAAATGTGTGCCAGTACATAATACATCTTAATTCTTGTTTTCCTCATTCCCCTCCCTTTTAGGGTAATTATTATTTTTTTTTCTGTATTTTAGGGAAGGGTCTACAGGGTGTTCAGGGTCTCACTACTAGATTGGACTTGTAGTGATTATTCTGTTTCCAGTCTCCCAAGTGTTGGGATTATAGGTGCGCACCACCACGCCCAGTCTCGATTGCCATCTCAGCGCGTCCCGGGGATGGGGCGGGGCGGGGCGGGCCCGAGCCCGGGTACCAAACCCCCGTCCCCTGTGCCTGCTTGCAGGATAATTATTGTTGAAAAAATGAAAATCTCCTATAACCATATTCAGTAAACCGTGCAGCAAAACAATAGTTAACAATCATGTGCCTTACACTATACCGAAGTAATTAATTACTAATTAATTGAGTTAATTTTTTTTTCAGTGAGATACTACAGCATGTGCTACTCTCATGACATCCATTTCATAAAGGAAAATGAAGTTTGGGCTGTTTAAGTCACTTTCTTGTGGCTGACAAGGGGTGAAAGTAGGATAAGGAGCTGTAGGTCCCTGCTGTGCACCAAACCAGTGTGTTTAGATGCGTTCTCTGCTGGAAGAGAAAGAAGATAGGGAAAAGCCAAAGAAACAGCAATTGCAGGTGGTAATAGATTGACTATTACTTCGGAGACAGGAGTTTTAACATTGTGTTCCTACCTGTTTTACTTGAGGCTGTGCTTTTAACTGTAACCTGGCCTCAGTCTTTAGTAACTCTTTCTTTAGGGAAGGTACAGATTCTTATATGAACCAATAGAAAGCATATTGCTAATGAAATGGATCTGCTTTAGGGAAGGGCAAGCGATGAAGCGGCTGATCTGTGGTGGTGGGATACAGAGGGAGTACAGTAGAGTGGAAAACGTCACAGAGAACATCTCTCCCATGCATCTGTTTACCATAAATTCATTGTCTTTATTTATTTGTGAAATGAAGGCTATTATTAGGAGGATAACTGCTGGTGCCAAATGGGATAACAGACCTTACAAGGGTTTGGAAACCTAAGGGAGCAAGCATATTTAAGATGCCATTATTGTTGGGTAGGAGAATACAGGCAAAAAAAAAAAAAAAATTACAAGAAGTGTAAGGCTCTGGGAAGAGTCAGCAAATACCACGGGCCATCCCAGCTGTTTCGGAGGACTTAGTGTAATGCAGCTTATCCCATGGGATTCATCAGAACCCTCACAGTCTAGAGTTCTTGCTGGGAAAAAATCTAGTGGAGTCAGGATGCTTCACTATCCCTACGTGCACAATATAATCCGTGCTGGTTTCTCCTGGCCCTCCACTTAGGCTATCTTAATTTCAACTTCATATGGCTTTTGGTTTAAGGCATGTAAACAGGATTGAGAATAGGTTAATCTCTTTAATCCACGTTCTATGTGACTTTTATAAGGCTACAAAAACCTGAAATGCTATTTCTAAACAAGGCTCTCTTGACACACTCCTTGAAAGATCTTGGGAGCATTTTGTCCATTTATATTTTAAGTAAAAGTACCCATAGAAGCAAAAAGCTATATTTTCAAGAATAAATTGACTATAGATAAAGAACAATGTTCTTTACAAAAGAGAACTAAAGAAATTTTTTATCACCATAAATGGTTAAAGGTTGTTTTACAAAATCATGCATTTTGTCCAGGTCCTTTGAGCTCTAGTCCAGTACTACTGGTGTCCTTATACAAAATGATTAGAACCCCACAGGGAAGGCCATGAAAACACACTGGAGGAACTGGACATCTAAAGTCAAGGAGGGAGGCCATGGAATATACTGAACCACTCCTATATTGAGCTCTATCATCACAGTCTTCTGAACTGTAAAGAAATATATTTCTGCTCTTTAAGCCATCCTATCCATGATGTTCTGTGCGGTAGTTCAAGTGAACAAATACAATGATTTTGGATAGAGAAAGATGATTTTCAGTTCCCAGATCATATATGAACATTTCCTCAACATGGGGGCAATGCCACACTTGGGAAGTACAAAAAACA